CAAACATAAAATAACAACATAATTTAACGAGAAAACTTGCAATAAAAAATTAAAGATGAATTTATCTTACAAATAGAGTAAATTAATCCAAAGTTTTGTGTTAGTAAAAGTTATGCTAATTGTTGAATTTTTTATTCAGAACTTCTTATATTTTCTTTAAACTATATTAGTACAAAAAATTATGAAAAAATCGAATCGAACCAAACCGAAATGATTAAACTTAAAATATATAAACATGACTTTTGTTTTAAAATTAATAAAACTATCTCAATTATCTAAAAATTCTACGATTACAATAATTAATTTTTTTTTGGAAAACAAAATATCTATAAATTATCCAAAACTATTTGTTTATACATGAGATATCCAAATATGATAAAATCTTTACGTGTTTGATAATGATTTTAAATATCTGAAATCATATAGTATATTATATTTATATTATCCGATTTATTTTTCAAAACACTATTTCCGATGTATTTTCGATCTCTTAAATAGTATTGTCTAACTCAAATATCCGTTTTTATCCAATCTATTATCCAAAATAAACATATTTATACATCATTTGGTGTTGGAAAAATTGTTGAATCTAGATGAATTTAACTGAATCTTACAATATGTTTTTTTGTTGAATTGTTGAATCTGGCAGAATTTTTTTACATAGCAAATGGTAATTCGGAATTGCTGAATCTAGCTGAATCTGGTGGAATTTTTTTTATATGTCACCATTTACAACCATAGTAGATAGAGTTAAAAATACTGTACATATAATGCAGAATAAGATGATGTCGTTGCCTTCGTAAGAGTAGTTTGGTCAAATATATATAGAGACATACATATTTCCAGCAAATAGTGTTGATTAGAAGTTGAATTTATAATTTTTTGTGTGGTCAGATTTGCCAATTTTCCTTTTTAAATTAAAGGGTGAGTTAGTGACCTATAAAGCCAATGAGAGTGTGATGTTTGTGATGTCAGCATCACCAAGTTGGTGTCTTGTGCAGAGGGGAGAGACACGTCATAATCTGCCCAAACCAAAGGTATTTAATTCCCTTTAATTAATGTTCAGTAAAGACATTAATGCCTATAAATACACATTATACATATGAAATTTGAATTTGTACAGTATTTTTGGTTACTGAGTGAATAACAAATTTGATACCGCGAACATGTTGGAACTCAAAAAGAAATCTCTCGGTTCAGCCAAACCGGAACCAAATCCTTATTGTTAACATGGCTTCATCAAAGGACCTCTACATAAAACATTCGTTGTCACTAAACGACGACGCTTCAAGGTGATCGAAAGGAGAACCCGTTGGAATAGGCCCACAAAGCCTGTTATGACTTATGACTAATATCAAGATGGCCCACAAACTTAACTGATGTCAAAGAATCCGGGATCCGACCCGATAACTGATTGTGAGACAAATCAAGCGCCACGAAATAGGTTTTCGACCCGAATACGTCAGAGTAATGAACTAACTAAATGGCGAAGCCAAAGACTTTCTCATTTTTGCAGTAAATGTTTTGATAGTGAAGAGAATGGTGTTATTTGACTCTTTGGAATATATAGAAATTGTGATGCAAGAGAGAAGAGAAACATTTGCATGTGCATGTTACGACTATTATATTTTTCTATAAATTATGGATCAAATGAATGTATTAATCCCCCCCTTGTATCTATAAACGTGAGTGTTGTTGAAAAAGTGGAGTAGAGATTTGCGATGAAATTTGTTTAGGAAGGAGAGTTGGATCATTTTTGTGGGTTTTCGACTTTACTAATTGATCTTCCTTAGCTTTTTTGTTTTGGTTTCTTTTTCTTAAAGAATTTTATTTAGTAAGATCTTTATTTAGAAAAAAAAGAAAGAAAAGGAAATGTG